CATCCATTTTCTCTTCGGATTTATTTTTGTACAAGTCAAGCAGTCACGTTCATATTCGTGTTTGAATGTTTCAAAATTCGGAGCATACAATGAATTTGAGTTTCTCTTGCGTGAATGAAAATGAGCAAATAAGATTGAATTTTATGACGCATGCACATGGCCTTTTTGCATGAGAACAGAAACAGGAATTTGGACAGCTCAGGTTCACTCGCAACAACAAAAACTACGCGCCGAAACTCACTCGGGACCGAGGAAGAGGAAAGCACTTCAGCCCCTGCCGTCTCACCGAACACAGTCTCGCTGCCCTATGAAGCAGAGGATAGAGATAGTGTAAGGGAGTGCTCGCTTGTTTGTCGTGTCATAGATTTTTATGGCGGACAGGGGTACCGGTTCACCGACCATAAAACCACGAAAACAACGTGCTTAAAGAAAGGAAAATGGGAATAGGAGGGAAAAGGCAAAGAGAAGCTCACTCGGGGCACGAAAAACGAGATCGAGATCGACATACAAGGATCGAGATCGAGATCGAAATCGAACATGATCAGTATGCCAGAACGAGCGAAGCCTATAGTTAAGCAGTATTATCGAGCAAAGAACGTCGAGATCGAAAAATGCGAGCTGATGATCATTTGCAATGCTGGAACAAACAAAAAACCGATGGCGTCGAGATCGATGCTATAGCTTTATGGATCAATTGTAATGCGATTAGTAAAACAAAAAACCGAAAAAGACGTCGAGATCGATGAGAATGAGCTAGAAAATAATTGTAAAGCAGCTACGAGAAATCGAGGACGATACAATGCAAGGTAAATAGAAGTTCGAAAAATAAACCGATGACATATCGAAAACTCGAGCTCTCTCAAGAAAGTAGAGCAGGGAAAGAAAGAACCGAAAGAGGAATACCAAAGAAAGAGGTACAGGAATGACAGATCAAAACCGACACGGACCGATGATTGGAATTATTGTAGAGAAGACGGGGCGCAATACAGATTGGAAAAGAACAAACAGACCAAGCAACCAACATAAAGATCAGACGGAGGCCACAGAAGTTTATATTCAAAAAAGCCATGGGATGATGACATAAAGTTGTAGACTTTGTAAGACCTCACCCAAATTAAGGAATTATGAAAGGCAAACATTCCAAGTGTCCAAATTCGAAAAGACAAAAGACTCTTTTTGAATGTGGACCCCCATGTAGCTGACATGCAAGCGCCCAGATGGGAGCACACAATGAATTTGAGTTTCTCTTGCGTGAATGAAAATGAGCAAAAAAGATCATGTTAAGAACCCTAAACAAACCCTTAACCCTGAAACCCTTGCTGCGTAGGCCTCGGCACAGGGACGAGCTGCGTAGGCTGCGGAACCGGGACGTGTAACGGAGGTCGCGCGCCGCGGAGGAAGAAGAAAGGCGTACATGGCGGAATTCGGAGAAAGGCGTAGAAACAACATATTTGAAAAAGATAAGCATTTTGATGAAAATAAAAGATCTAAAAATACCCATAAAACAACCCACCCAAAAAAACGGCTTGGTGCCAGTAGGGCCCAGGAGGAAAAAGCAAGCAAGAAGAAGGCAGAGTAAGACTACTTCATAAAAAGCGCTAGTAAAGCCTTTTGCTCTGATCCGTCAAGGCGGGCCCGCCTTTCTGGTTCTAAAGCTTCAGCAATGCTGAGAACGTTCCGACCCTAAACCTCGAGGCACAAGTGCCAGAGATCTACGTACGTATGCGCACGAGCAAGGCAGGATAGGTGCCTGGTATGGACACACAATCCAACTAAAACAAAAAACAAAACAAAATCGAAAAACGACTC